GTACAAGAACAGCAATATTCATTAGTGAATTTTTATTGCCAGGCATGAATAAATTACTAGATATCTGGTGCCTGCAGACAGGCAAAGGAAAAGCTGTATGGGAAACTTGGATTTAAGATGGGTATTTCATCTCTAAAAAAATATCCCTATTTGTTTGAGGTGCAGGTTCTTATATCCTTGGTTCAAATGCAGTCATACTCTGGATCAATGCAATCTTGAGTCAAGCAGAGAGCTGTGATAAATCTGTTCAAACCTCATTCTATCAGATGGTTCTGTGCCAAGAAAGGTGATAATGAATATTTAGATATGAACTCAGTTGTTGGTTTTTTTTTGGCAGCAAATTATGTAGAGGTTCAAGTGGAGCATTTTATTGATTTAGTGTAATATCACTCTAAGTTGGTTGCACTTTTATAGAAGCATTACATATATTTAGTGTTAGATCTATTTCTCTATGAAGAAGGGACAGCCATAAAAACAGTGGAATCAATACAAAATTGCCATTTTTTGTACTGTAGGCAACTGAATAAATTTCCCTCTTTTCCCCAAGTATCTCTGTTCGGGTTTCTGTGGGCTTGTTCAGTTCATCCATTCAAGTGGTTTCTAAGGGTGCTGCTGACAAGGCTAATGAACAATTCAGTGTTGCAGTGTTGATCCCTGAATCATGCTGCAGCATTAACTGTTGTCATAGAGACACAGTTTTTTGAGTCCAAAAGGATAGTTTTGATAATCGGCTCAGACTTGAAAAACATGTAGTAGTTTGCCAAAAAGTAAATAACTTTGCCAAACTGGAGCACAGCTGGGCCTTCCCTCTCCTGTGACAACGACATGAATTTCACTGAAGTTTGTGAGATGCTGTAAGTTAAACCCCCAATGAGGATTTAATTTATTGTAAGAGTGATGCTGTCAGCACACATTTTTTCTGATGAGTGAAAGCCAGGTGCAAGCTTAGTCCACAAGATCCTGCTGTTACTGTGATACTGGCAACCTTAGAGGGACAAAGATTATTAAAATATTAACAGTATTCTGTCTTGCCCTTTAGGTAGTGCAGTGATGGTAGCACTTCTAAAGAAGGACGCTAGAGTGGGGCAGCTGTATGCAGTCAGAAATCTCTGACAGGCAATCTCTGGGTGATATCATTTTGATGCTACTGTCCCTGGCTTTCCTCCTCATTCTGCTTGCTCCTTTATCAGCTGTGTGTCTGCACCCATGCCAGTACAGAGCCTGTTGTGGCTGCTGCCAGGAACAGTGGACTTGTGCCAAGGCACTGGGTTCTGAACTGCCATAGCAGTTGTAGCCCTTGCCAAAGGCTACCTGATAAAGCAGAACTAACAGCTGGGGGATTTAACATCTTAAATTGCCAAGCTGAAATCCATCAGAGCTCATGTGAGAGTGCCAAGCAGTCTGTGTAACCTCCAGCCAAGTATTAAGTCTCCTCTTTCCCAGTATATGCTAATCTGTGAGAAATGGATTGTTACAGATCACAGCTCCGCTGATGAAGCAGTTCCAGTTATAAAATCCCATGATTCTGTACACAGAAGTTTCCAGTGGCCATCACAGGATATTAGGCATTGGAACAGGAGCAAAATGTCTGATATAGTCTCCCCATCTTCCACTGCAGAATTTGGAATAAGATGAACTGGTTGGGTAAAGCTGTGAAAAATGTGTGTGAAGGAACATGTGCAGCCAAAATGCTCCCCTCCTAAATGTATACATTTCACTCATTGTCAGCCATGCATATACAGCTTCTGCAGTCCTGTAAGATAGCTTCACAAAAGCTGGAAATGCAATTTTTTAATGAAAATAATCTGCTGGCTCAGTACAGGCATGCATTATCCATGCCTTTGCTGTGCTGCTGGAAAGGTTTGATAATAGCGCAGCGTTTGGTTCCTTGTTCTCTTTTCCACTCCTGTGTTAGACAGCTGTTTTCTGCTATTTCCAATGCCTGAAATTACTCACTCTTAAGTATTATTAAGGTACAATTCTTACCACTTCAGATTTTCAGGGATTGTCTTTGGCAAATTACTGCAGAATCCCTATGAGGTGAAATGACTCACTGCCTTTCTGCTCACAAGTAGTGCGATGTTCATCTATTCTCTGACAAATTAGTCTGTGGGACATCCTGGTTACTCTGGAACATGTTCCTTCTGCCACAGGAATAAGTCACCCTTAAAAACTCATGGGAACTCAGCAGAGAGCCAGGTTGTGTGTGCTTCAGCTTTGGTGCTCTGTTGCAATGCTGCACAGCTGCACAGCTGTTGTGGATGCACTGGGGATCATTCAGGTCTTGGAGGGGAAAATGTGTCTCCTGCTTGCTTGTTTTAGAAATGGGGAAGCACCCTGGGACTCTCTGAGAAGCCACCTGCCTGCCAACCTTTAGGAATGAAGGAAATCCTGCAGCTTTCACAGTACAACCGTACTGTGAAGCTGGTGGCACATGGGTTAAACCATATAACTGTACATAACAAGCCCTCTTTCCAGTGCTTTGAAAATGGTTTGACAGTGCACATACTGCACAGCATCTGTCTAGTGGTGAGAAATGCTGCTTGCTATTGCATAGACTTGCTTAGTGATTTACAGACTTGTTTAGTGACTACAGCACCACCTTCCCTGGCCCTTTAACTTAAGGAATTGTTCTGTCCTGGGGTTTATTGAATTCCCATCTGTCCCAAAATTATCGTGGAGAAGCCTTTCTACCAAAGAGACATTTTTTAAACCAAAAAGTTATTAACAGTTTCATTTTCAACCTAGCTCTGTGAACATTCATATACTGGCACAATAGAAATAGAACAGAAGCTCAATTGTTGAAGGGTGATGCAGGAGTTCGAAGGAGAGCTTGAGGGTGCGAGTCTTATAAACTGGCTCTGTCATGGAGGCAAATGCCAAATGCCTAATACACACGGTATGAGCAGAGAGGCTGTGGCCATGGTTATCACCTCTTTATCCACCCTTTTCCATTCTGTCCCCTCATTGCTCTCAAGGGGATTAGTGAGTACTACTGAGTGCAGATTATTCTGGACAAATATTTTGTTAATTAATACGAATGACTTTGGTAAAAGAGAAAATATTTGCTGATAGGTCTGTGACTGTGTGGGAGGAAGATTACATGACTTCACGAGGATTTGGGTCAAATTTTAAATCTCTCTTTGAGAAGACAATTAGATCAGTATTTCCAAACTTACAAAACGAGTTATCACCTTCATTTGCTTTTTTCTGTTGTTTTTTTGTTTGTTTGTTTGGCATTTGTACTCAAATGCTTAAGAAAGAAGCAGGCAGCTTGCCTTTCAGAACTCTGTTCTTCCAAATATGATGTCCCGGTTTAGGACACCCCAAGACTATGATCAATAATTTTCAAGAGTTTTGGACATGCAGATGAGAAGAACTGTTCATTGAAAGGTGTATTTTAGGTGGACAGTTGTCAAAGACACCAGTGCCCCTGACACATCTACTACTTATGGGCTTCCAGCAGCAGGTAAACACATCTATGGTTTTGGAAAATCATTCAGTTGTTAGTAGAACTGACTTAAATACTCACGAGAAGTAATTCACTCTCCAATTTTGACCTGTTGCAAATTGTGATCAGCTCAACAAGTCTTAATATATCAACATATGTATCTCTGGAGTCATGAATTATTTATACAAATGTTCAAAAGGTCTGAAAAGCAATCTTCTTTTGGACATGTGTGATTGGCCACATGAGTGACATGGTATTCTCTCATCCCTGATTGTGTTAGCATTTTAATTGCTTATTCCATCTGATGCTAATTTTGATTCTTGATGAGGTCTCAGTGGTAGTATTAAATCCGTTCTCACCGAACATTTATCCCTACAAAGCTTCATTTATATGAAAGCTTGTAAAGAAAGAGGCATAAACCAGTAAAGTGTCAGTCTAGTTTCATTACTTGGGCTGATATATGCTAGCTGATAAATGCTTTCATGCTTCCATGATCTTTAGTCATGACTGATCTGGGGACTTCCAATCAACTATCTCCCAACAAATACACTACGTATGTGTTCAATATGAAGGCAATTTCACTATCATCACTCATTTTGATCGCTGTGCTATTGTATAGATAGCTGTTTCCTTTGCTAATCAGGTGAAAAAGTTACTGAGGAGAAGTGTTATGCACTGTACCTTGAAAATCAAGATTTGACTCATTCTCCAAAAGCATCCATTACAAGCCTTAAGAAGTTTAAGCCAGAAGATGAGCCAAGCAGGAGCAAGCAAGAAAACTGTTTTGTGCCAGGGGACTGCAAAGCCCAAATATGGGAAGACAACCATGCATCTTAACAAGCAGCTTCTTAGGTCCTGTAAAGCGGTGGGTTGTGACACTTGGACCTAGTTTTGAACTAGCAGAAAGGGACTGGGGAGATCAGTAGCATGATGGGAAACACTGGAAAGGGAAGCTACATGGCCAACATAATAAAGATTCTTTTCAAAAACCTTCACAGGCACTTCTCTAACAGCCACCATCATAAAATATGAAGAGACAGTAACAAAAATTTGTAAGTGCATGCCATGTTCCTATGCTCATGGAAGACAATGACAAAGCTGTCATTAACCTTGGTGCTGAAGGATCAAGTTATTTCCCTTTCATAACATCCAAGTGATTTGGTAACAGCAATTGATCAATCCTGCCACCACCACGTGGGACGGATGTCAATCTTGATGTTAGAGATGAATGTGTTGAGGTGAAATAATTAATCCAGGTTCAGCAGTGACTAGGCACTGATTGATTGCTGTCCTCTGAGCTAATCTTCAATAAATACCTCCTCCCTTCCTTGACAAAAGATTTTGAAACACATCACACAAGCTTGGATCAACCAGTATTGTGAATGAAACACATTTTGACTTGTGTATTACAGAAATAAATTCAGTATGTTCAGTGGGAAAGCTAACTGAACTCATAGTATTTGAACAACTTGCTCCTGTTTTGCCTAACCTGTGAATGCTGTTCATTCTCAGCTGTCATTTGGCCAACCCTTTCCCTCCAGTAACTTACAACTTTCAATTTCTAGTGTGCAGTTTTGTTCATCCAGAGGATATCTGCGTAGATCCATCATGCAAGCAGCTGTTGTTGTGATCCTGTAAGAGGAGGGTGAAAAAAAATAATGAGACTTGAAACCACATTTTACTTATTTGAGATGGCAAGATTTTCTATAATGGGTTTTCTGTTTGTTTAAATACAGAATGGTATGCACTTGGATTCCTGGCATGCAGTCTTTATAGAGCTTGTAAAGCATGATTAATTTATGCAGCACAGTATACTGGTTACAGCATAAAGCATAAGACTGTATGCTGAATATTGTAGAGAAGGATTTTGACTCAAAAGTGTATGTGTAAAATTGTACAGTGTTTTGAAGAATATTCAGTGAGATTTCTACATGCACATCTTTTTTTAAATGTTCTTAATTGAGACATCTTCAAATTGCTTAGCAAATTGTTTTATTTATAAATCATACTGCTGATATATTTCTTTTCCATTTTGTTGTAATTTGCTGCTGTTTTAATTTTGTCTGATAGGCATGTGCATTTTCATCCATGCTGTGGAATACCTGATAATACCTTATTCATTTTTTTATGCTTTCATAATCAGTTTATCATTAACTATGATAATTGTACATCACCTCTTAAAAATAGCATGAGGCAATCAAACACTGGTAAAATATAACATCATACAGTGGTTACTTCTTGAACATTGAAAGTAACTGTGATTGCAGGTTGGATGTTTCAGATCCTTACTTCTTCTAGAGGGCACGTGAGTTGACATTTGGTCCCTAAAGGTATTCTTTTAAATCTCTCTTTGAGAAAGACAATTAGATCAGTATTTCCAAACTCACAAAATGAATTATCCCCTTAATTTGCTTTTTTCTGTTTGTTGGTTGTTTTTTTTGTTTGTTTTTTTTTGTGATAGATGGGTTCTTAAAGGATTATAAAACTTCTTAAGTTGTGAATAGGCAAACTTGGATTCTAATTTTATTGGTCTCTCTCCTTCCCTCTCCAATGATTTATACCAGATAAAGGCAGATAACCTCTTTTCTTGATCTGGTTTTGGTCCTGTTGTTCCAGTTCCATGTTAATGAATACCAGGAACACATTTTAAGATTTCACTTTTGATGTGCTGAAAGTCAAGCACACTTACATGCTGTATTGGGGTAGTAATCCTTGCTGTCACTGAACTGACAGAATTTAAAAGGGAAAAAATGCCACATACTTTATTAGTATGACATGCTTCAAAATTTCCTAAGTCTACAAAATCCATCTGTCATAACTAGTATAAGGAATATCTAGCAAGGGCTGTAATAAGAACCAGTCCATAAAACTACTTATACTTTTTTTACAGGCTGATTTTGTCACATTAAATAGAAATGCATGTGTCTTAACATGCATTTGCCATAAAAATGCACTTGCCATAAAAAAGGTCTTCAGCTGCGGTAGGACCTCATTTAGATTAGCCTTGTACCAATTATCCCTTACTGACAGGCACTGAGAAGACACTCATTTGTCAGACACCTGCTTAATAACGCTTAAGATCACACATAACAATATACTAACATTAGTCACAGTTAAATGCTTTTTAATGAAGGTTTCATAGGGAAATGTTTTGTTCCCAATTAATAAATCAGCCTTTATGTAATTTAGTTCATCTGTATCAACCAGAGTGTTTTCTAAACCACTGTGGTGAGGTAGCACTCCCCCTGCTACCTCCTCAGGCTGCTCTGTGATCTCAGGAATTCCCACTGAGCTTTGGCTTTTGAGCAATGAGTGGTGAAGCGTACTTTGACTGTGCCAGAAATTCTTGTGTGGCTAAGGTGGGGGTGGCACCCTCTGTACCAGGGACTTCTGCTGCCTCCCCAAGGAGGGGAACAAGAGATAATCAGTCATCCTCTGACAGCCTTGGGACATTATTTACCTGAATTTTATCCTGAGTGGAACAGTACCATTACTGACCTTTTTAAGAACTCCAGCAATTACCAGCTTGGATTACAGCCAGGATATAAAACCACTAATGACTAAAGCCAAGCATTTTGTGACCCTCTAAGCAGCTGTTCTAAGAGATGCCCTTTGAGCTCTTCTGGACTGCAGTGGATTCACCTCTCTCTTAGAGGGACACCTCTCAGAGCTTTGCAATGCTTGCAGGACTGTCACTGAAAACTCACGGTGGGACCTGCACTGACACCCCCACTCCCTCCTCAAGGCTCAAGTCTCACCCACAGAGAAATGACAAGGCATTTAACATTAGTATTTCTTTGGATTTGAGGGTAATTTTTACAGGTATATCTTTATAAATTTATTTAGACATTGTGTCTGTAGGTGTTTGTGTGTGTGAAGTGGTTGAAACACACTATAGCAAGTGTAGAGTGGATGCCATCTTGGATCTAAAATAAGTCATGCATCCTCTTAATGCACACTTTTTTCTTCCTGATCTCTGTGCAAGTCATTCTAAACTGATTCTAATCTGATTTTCATTTGTATGCTCCATCTGTGCAGTAAGTAACAGAGTAAACCTTTCCATAGCACTTTGTGAAGTTGTACAAGTTTATATTAAACCTGCTTTTGCTAATACATTTGACAGAGATTTTGAGTCACCCTAACCAATTGTTTGTGATAATCAGAGTTTGAGCGACCAGGTACTCCTAATGGCATGGTATCTGTACTACTGACTTCTGCAGTTTTGCATATTTTACACAAGTTACATAAGCAACAGCAATTAGCTGGTCTCTATATCATCAATGCAAATTGATAGTGCAGTGGTAATTAATGCAATTGTTTATATCTGAAATTTAAATATTCTACATAATCTTTTCCTCTGACATTGTGATTCTGACAACTGTATTACAGTCTTCTCCACCAGCCTGCCAACACAATATGGAGGTGTTAAACTTTTTTGGGAATCTCAGGTTTCCTTGAAAATAGCTACGTGTAATTGCAGGAGTGCTTCAGGACTCAGCAACCTTCATTACCTGAAGTTCATAAATCTGCCTTTGAAGCATGTTTCTCACTCTTCATAGAGCACAGCTAAAATTGCCCAGTGTAAAATTGTTAATGGCATTGTGCTCTGGATAACCACAAAATTTATTTAAGCAGATAAATTAAACCCAGATGCAATCATAGTAATTGTTGTCTTGATGAAAAAAAACCCAAATATTTTATTAGAAATAGAGTAAATAAATCCCAGACCTGTTAGTGGTTGCACTCTCTCTGGGTGGAGAGAGTAACTGATGGCTTGCACATGCACCAGAAGCTTAAAAATAGACATTCAAATGCAGAATACAGGGGTGTAATGGCAGGAAGGAGATAGCAATACTCTGAAGATAGGGAAAAGCTGCAATAAATCTGTGTTCAAGAGGATTAGACCTGAAAGGCCCTTGGCACAAGCAGTTTGTGGCAATGGCAGAACATCATAAGTGGAGGATTAATCCTACACTAGAAGCAGAACTATTTATATCTCAAAGTAGGATATGTTTCTTCCAGGATTTCCATTCTTAAAATACACTTTAAGTTCAGGTGTTGGCGCTAATTTATTTTGTTTGTACACTGTCTTTTATTCTACTGTCTTTACATTCTTTAGAATCATTTGGATACAAATGCTAAAAATGGGATTATGCAAAGAAGACAAGAAGTTAGGTGAAGGTATTTCATTATGCTACTTAATTTTACTCATGTCAGTACTCAGACATTCTGAGATGGAATGAAGTCTGAACTGCCAACAGGCAAGATAAATAGTATTTGCATAAAAGCAAAATCAACTGGTTTAATTTTTTGAAATTGTGACTTGGGGTTCAAGTTATTTGATCCACTGCTTAGCTTTTATTTTGATGCCTTACTCTCTGAATATCATATTCTTACTGTATAGTCAAGTTATTTTTTGCCAAAAATAAAATTATATGAAAAAAACTCACTGATGCCCATTATTTGCAAAACTGACTTCCTCAAGTAATACTGTCAGAGATTTCCCTGTGGAGCAGCAGGTTTTGTAGGAACAAATGTTAAAGCTTAGTATTTTGAGTTAAATAATCAATGAACAGTTTAAGTAAGTTCAGAATGAATACAGGAAGTGGATTTATGGTTCAGTATTTAGATTATTTCCTCAATATGCTGTCACAAATCTGATCCTCAATTCTTAGAGGAAAGAAATAGACACAATATTTAAGACAGCAATAATAATTAAATGTGAAGATGATGAGAGCTAAACAATGCAAATTCTATTGTAAAGTGTTTCCTTCATTTGGAGGTCAGGTATCAAATTTTAATATGTTTGTTCTTTTGTTGTGTTGTTTGTTCTGTCAGTCAACAGAACATAAATTATAAATGTGCATGAAGATATGAACTGGGATGGACTAATTTTTTTCCTTAAAATCTAAATAAAATCTTCAAATCAAATAAAGAATAATCATGCTTCTCTTAACCACTGCAGTGCTGGGGCTCTAGTACATGCTGGAAGTAGACTTTCATATTCCAAGTAAAAAATATGGCTTTTATTAAATCAGTGTTAATTTAACTTCACTGGTATCAGGGAACCAAATTTTTTCTCTGTCCGGGCCATGTACAAGGTTTATAGTTATCATACCTGCTGACACCATAGATTTCCATGCACAGCCTGAGTGCTTGACCATAGGTGCAAAATAAAAAGGACCTTGAGGAAGGTGTATATAGAGAAATACCAAAAACCTTTATAATATTGAGTAAAGTGACCTGTTACACTCAAGTTGCACAAAGACTGGGCAGGGAAAAATGGGTCATACTATGGGCATGCTATTGTATTTTATCAATACCCTGAATTTGTCTGTTTGCTTCATTTGCCTCTCCTTCATCTTTGTCCCTTTAGCTGCCCATTGAACCTTGAATAAAACGTGAGCAGCTCAGCCATAGCGTTGGTTGCCACGGGTATCAAGGTCTTGAGATAGTATAACTGCAACCAGAAAAGAACACATGGTGAAATTTTGCCGTGTCTTTCAAGGGCTGAATCATTTTGCTTTTAAGACAAGAAGAAATACAGTGGTCAGTGACAACACCTCCCAACAAAACCACAACAAACTACTAAAAAAAACTAGAAGAAGAAATAACTAATAGTAGCACTGACTAGTGCTGTAGCATAGTAAGGGTCACAAATTTGTGCTGAGACCTGGAGGACTCATTCTGGGTTTGTCTTTCCCTGTGTAGCTAGTAACATTCCTGAGAGTGAATAGACTTGTCAAATGTAGAGGAGGAATATTCATTTTTTTCTGAGGTGTAAATAAAAATGTCTGTTTTCAAGCAAAAGACAAGCATGAAAAGTAAATCTGCAGGGTGTCAAATCAATCAACTGCATTGGCTTGAAATAAGAATGTTAAAGAACAACTTAATGAAAACATGACTGCTCTTTCCATTCACATATGTTCTCCCCAAAAGCTACTGAGCTGTCTGCCTGGGCTGCCATGTTGTCCTGTATGTCCTCTGAGACACTTCTTATCCCATCCTTAATTCCCCCAGGTTATATCACCTCACCAGCTGCCAAGAGAAATGAGGCAGAATTTGCCTGAATTGACTATTGTTCTTGAATCAGTTCATTAGTTGGGCTCAGTGTTTGCTCTAAAGGCAGTTAAATAGCACCATATCAGAACAAAGTAGTGATGAAGAACTGATGAAGGCAGTTCTCCTACACCATGAATTTTGTCAAGTTATTCCCATGCCAGTGGGAATATTCACCACCAGTGAATTGCCATGGTCAGCTCATTGCTGGTAAGGTGCCTGAACTTCGTCTGAGACAGAAGTCCTGAAAGAGTCGAAACTATTCTTAAAGAATGTTCCTTGTCTATCTCAGCAGCAGAGCCTAATCCTGTGGTATACATTCAGGCAGGGGCAACCCACTGAGCACTGTGTGACATTCACCCAGGAGAGAAAGAATGGTTTGGTTTAACACCCAAACAGTTACTGGTTCTGATGTGGGATGTGTTAATTGGAGTAAGCATGTGTCTAGTCTTGCTGTTGTGGTCACTTCAGTTTGCTTCAATTAGCATTCTTTAACATGACCCAGGCACTAGTTTATCACATCTGTTTTGTGCCTACAAGGCTATGCAATGGTCAAATGCTCTTCTGCTGGACTGAACTGACTGAATTTGAAACCTGTTATCCATTTGCTGTTTATTCTTCCCCCAGCTCCTTGTATTTACTTCCTTTGCTGTTTTTTTGTTGTTGGTTCGTTTGTTTGCTTGAATGATGAAGGGTTGTTTACTGGAAAAGGTCACTGCTGATCTTCTGTTAAATATTCCAGGGTCAGAAATCTCTTGCAGCACTTGAAGCTTATGGGTTCTGTGATGAAGGCTTTCAGATGCAGCACCCTTTGATAATGGCGCTGTGATCTATACGACAATACTGCCCAAGAACTACCTGCAGCAAGTGATGTCTTCAAGTAGAATTCTTTGTCCCCTACTCTGATTTTTGTTGTAAAATATAACCTGACGGTATAATTCCCACCTTTAACCTCTATTCTGAATGCAAATAGATGTTATCAGGTGTGTTAAGCACATATTATGGAATGCTTATGAGAACACCATGCTTTTGTATTTTATGTCCTGATTGGCAGTTTAAAAAGGTTTGCCACTGGAGCTGTAGATCACGTTTTTTCCCCCCATATTTTTTTTTTTTTTCACAGAAAACATTGATTTCTACAGTCACTGCAAGGTAGGAGTGTCTGAAAGAAAAGAGTGTCTCAAAAAACCCCATAATTTTCAATTAAAGTGCTGTGGGCATAAAGTATTTTGCGGAAGGGGACGTCACATTTCTGTTGTCTTGGGAGATTTACCTTGGCACTCAAAATAACTTTCAGTAAATCCATCACTTTTTGCTTAAACCCTTAATGTCTTTCAGCTGCCAGAACTCAGCTTCAGAGAACAGCTACATAGTTACATGGTTAAACAGCTGTGTAGTACTATCACAAAGTAGGGATGGGGTGGGGAAATTACCCAAAATGCAGAGAAACATGCTTGTTTCTGCCTTTCCCAAGGGGAGACCCTGAAGCTCCAGCAGAGCAGTGCCAAGAGGAGACACTGGGAAAGGGAGAGCTCATGCGTGGAGGAGATGAGGAGAGAGGTAGCAGGACAAAAGGTCTGTGAGAAAAGACGTTGCTCTGACTGAATTAGAACCTTCTAAAATCAAAATGTTAAGCCATATATTTACTTTTTAAAGATAATTATAAGGATAATTAAGACCTTTACTCTGTTCAGTGTAGTGCATCAGAAATAGTTCAGAGTAGAGTGAAGATGAATGGTGGAAGAATGAAGATGCTTGTAAATATAAAGAAATAATAATAATTTTAAAAATCACTAAAATTTTACAGTGTAACCTTTTAAATACAAAAAAAAAAATAAATTCTGTATTTGATGCTTCTAAGGCAAATTGCAGTGCAATGAGAATTTTTACTGCACAGCTATAAACCCATGAAAATAAATTTTACAATATAAATCCCAAAAGGTATATAGCCATAGCAGGGCAAACAAGATACTTCAATAAAAAGTGCCTTAGCTTTGGAGCTGAAATTTACTGCAAATAGTAATTTAGTTTGACAGTGGAAGTATGTTGCAAGATAAAAAGAAAAAGAGCGAGCCAGCTTAGCATAAAGGAAGGTCCAAGAGAGAAATAAAGTCAGATAACTGGTTTTCAATCCGGTTTGAATTAAAAAAAAACAAAAAACGCCCCCAAGGTGATAAATCTGTAACTTATTCAATGTCTCTATGCAAACCCTCTAAGAGTGACTAAATGCTAGAAAGGTGGACATAATATCCACTGACCGAAACACCCCGCTTAGGAAGTCTGCTAGATGGCAGCAGTGATGTTAGCGTCCTCTGGCATGGTCACCTTTTGGGTTGTTTGTTTTGTTGTTGCTTATTTCAAAACAAAACAAGATTAGCCAGCAGCATACTTATTGTGTGTGAAAGAAAGGCACGCGCATGTTCAGTCCCCCCTTCTTTGGCAGAAGCGGAAACAAGGCAACATCTTCCATATGCAGCCTGGTTTGGAAGGCTTCAGGATGTGCTTGGTCAAAACAACTGGTGGTTGCAGGGACCAGACATACCTTTGTTGTTTTTGTTTGATTGTTTGTGATTTTCTTTTGTTTTGTTTTTTTCTTGGGGGGGTGGTGATGCCTGATCAGGCTAAGCACCTGTGTAAGATGTGAACTGCTAGAAGTTTTGCTGATGGTAGGTGAGCTCTGCATATTTTTTTAGCTATACAGAAAATTAGTTAAATTTAGTAATTAATTAGTAAATTAATGAATTGCAGGAAATTTTGATTGAGATTTTTAGGACTTTATGTTGAACATCATTTGAAAATACACTATCGTAGAGAAGTGCAACAGAGAGGGAAGGGGAAGGCAGCATTCTCTATAGGGGTCCTGTAATAAGAGAAAGAAAACTGAGAAGCAGAAAGAACCCTGAGGCAAAGGAAAAAGAGCTTCCACCTGTATCTGTAGTTATTTATATGGCTGTGCTTCTTTATAATGAACTCATGTATGAAATCTATAAATGATGTGTATCACCTAGGAAAGAGAACAGCAGTAAATGGCATCTTACAATATGACAGTTTTGTTTGTAACTGACTCTAAGACCTAATACTCATTAAAATATGCTTTTGTCATTTCAGGAGTTCTTAGATTATCAAGCCTTTACAGACCAGTCAAGTGATCTTAATACAAAATGGGATTGATTTCTGAGGGCTTTCCTCAGGTCTCTGGTATTGACTGTTTACCCATGTTCTCCCTTCCTGTTCAGACAGTAAGTACACTTCATTTGTTTCAGACAGGTAGTTGAATATGAAAACTAATAATTCCAGTCAGCAAAGCTGGCAGCACAATTATGTCTTGATACATATAATGTGAGGAAACTTGAGCACTTCTGAAGAAGCTGAGTTGCTGCAGATAATCTACCATGTGTGGAGACTAACTCCTTTGGAAAACTGAAAACCTTGCACTAGGACTTCAGTGAGATGATTTTTGGTTCTGACAATATATTGGTTCTGCTGGCAGTGTAAAGTGTGAACAAAGATATTTGATTGCTTTTTTGCACATCTTTGCCTTGGGAGGAATGATGTGATTTTTGTATAGCAAATTGACTGAAAAAAATTCTCTGTCCTTGTTAAGCAGTATTTCCTTTCCCAGGTGCATCAACACTACATGAAGAGACTCCCATCCTCTAATTCTCATCCTTAATTTTCTCCTTCCCTGGAGACTAAAATCATTATTGTCTACCAGCAGAGTTACTGATGTGACAACACCCTGAATTGTCTTTGTGAATCTTTTTGTTGACTGGAAGTTAAATTGGCTAAGTAACTATTTCAAGGGGCTGAAATAGATTAGGAAGTGTTCACCAAAGCAACCCTCCTAAGCATCCATTAGAGAGCTATTGTATCTAGTAGGGAAACGGTGATGGTTAACTTGGAGGATTTTTATATATATATACACACACATATGTGGGCTTCTCTGCATGAATTATTTATATGAGCTTGTCCTTTTAACCTAGTTCTTCAGCTGGGCCTGCATAAGATAAGAGAGCGAGCCTCAGAGAATGAGTTGCTCATTTGTACTTAGAGCATTCAGTTTCTCCTGACTGCCAGCACTGATGAGTCATATGCAGATTTCATCTGAGTTGCTCACAAGTTTGAAAAGAAAATCACTGTTTGTGCCAATGAGATATTTTTATCCTGAAATGTCTGTTAACTAAAGAAGTATTGATAACTTTCAATGGGTAGGGGAGAATATTTTGCAAATGGACCTTTTGAGGGGGGAATATTTTCACTGTTTTTGTCTTTCAGTAGTAGCAGCTGTTTTACAAGGTGGGTAGCAGCTCTGTATACCAGAAATGTCTTATGGGGAAGAAAAAACCACAAAGATTTTAAGTGGTTCTACAGTAGAACATGCTTATTTATTTGTTTAACAATTTATATTTAGAGAGGTAAGAATAACTTACTTAATGTTGATGCTCCATACTGGTTTATTTGGTTTTAGATATTCTTTATATCAAAAATATGATTTCACTTTTACACAATGATACTTGGTGCTCTTTTATATTCATTGAGTGCTGCGTGCACCAGTGATGCAGCAGACTGATATATAGTTGAGTAGCATGTTGAATACACAACATCTGGCACTACTCCTCTGCAACCTGAACATCTCTCAATAGCACAGTATGCAAATTTGTTATAAACTGTGTGTTTTCAGGAATTAAATACACATTATTTGGGAATTAAAATATATATTTCACAGTCTAATGAAATGTGTATGTTCTGTAGGTAATATAGATGTATAAATGCTTTCCCCCTGATATTTTGGACGACCTTATTTTGTCTGTTTGCATTTTTTTGCTTCTCTTTTTTTTTTAAAATTTCAATTTCAAAACATGTACATTAGCTTTAAAACTTTCATGAAAGGATTTCCTGGTCCTACTCAGAATCCACTAGGCATTCTAATTTCTTCTTGTGGTAGAATATTTTTCAGATGAATAAAGTACAGGACAGCCAGAAAGGTGGGTCTGTTAAAGTAGGAGAGTCCAGTTAAGTATTAAATTAGTTCAGGTTACCCACTCTGTGCCTTGTTTTGCAGTACAGTCATACTTTTTAATACTTAGCAACTTATAGGGCTGGCAGGTTTTGGTATCTGAAATCCAAGAAAAGACATGAATGGAATCTCTTGGTACTTTTTCACACATTAATTTTTTGCACATTAATTAGCTGCATTTAGAGTACTGTCAGAGAAAGGCTGGCTAAAGAACACTTTGATTTTTCACTAAAATGGTGAAGGTTAGCTGTGCTCGAATGGTGGTGCGAGTACATTCAGGAATTGCAAGGAATGGTGAAAAGTGAGCAATGTGGGGATGGCTCTTCTATTGGCTCTTTGAGCTGAGAAGATCAAAGCCTCAATAAAAAAAAGAAAATAAACACGTTTTATGTACAAAAGCCATGAGTAGAATGAGGACAAGGCTTGTTTTCCTAAGCTCCTTAAGTTTCAGGAAAGATAACAATGTATTTTTGAGAGTTTCCTTGCTCAGGCTTTGGTGTTGACCTGTATCAGGCCTTCTTTGCACCTTTTTACTCCTGTCTTGAGTAATCTCAGAGCACCAAGCGTGACAGAGTTCAAGAAGCATTTGTACAGTGCTCTCAGGCATGGTGTGACTCTTGGGGCTGTACTGTGCAGGGCCAGGAGTTGGGCTTTGATGATCATTGTGGGTCCCTTCCAACTCAGAATATTCTGTGATTCTGTGACATTTAATATTCTGCAGGCTCAGACTCTGCAGGCTTTTGTTCTCTCCTAGCAACACGTCTGCATTTGATTTCAACAAGTAGTTGACACGTAATTCCTCATAGTCGGTATCTGTTGTGCCTGTTTCTTCTATCTTTAGCTTCAAGAGCACAGTAGAACAGACTCTAACACTACTTTATTTATGCAATGCTCCTAAGGACAGAACAAGTAAAAATCTCCTTAGCTGACAAAGATGCTCTTTACCATAATGTTGAAATACTGAATTAAGACTGAAGCTTATAAAACAGACCAATTTTTCTACTTATGTTGTCTGAGTAGTTAAGGAGAATTTTCAGATAAAACCCAGGTTGTTTATGGTATTAAATTCTCATTTTGTGTTGCTCCATGATAACCCTTCTGTGTTGCATGGTCTCTTGAGTCACAAGTGATAGTTGGCTAATTTTAATTTTTTTTTTTTTTTTTTCTCCTTTTTCTTCTCACAGGACAAGAGGGAAATATAGTAAGGCATTGCTACTTGACTACTGTGTCATATTTTCTGTTGAATTTCATGGTTTAGAAGTTCTTCCCTGAACTGTTTTGATTCTATAAATCATAATAAATTCCACGGGCATTCTTTCATTAAGATAAACTACTAAAAATGTAGAAAAGTAAGGAAAACATTGTATCAGCCTGTAGAGTTTTGAAACTCTCATCCTTCTGCTTGCCATCCTGCATAATTTTTTGCTATTTTTCTCAAGTCTAGTAGCTAAATAACATATTATTGCTAAGGTTTAGTGTCCAGTGGTTTCACAGAGGGATTTCTTTTCCTTCAATGGACACCTTATTTTTGTACTGAAGGATGGAATTTGAAACCTTTATAGGAGAAGGGTTTAAAAATGGGTTTGGAAATGTTACATTTTAAAGTTCACATATTGCATCTTATTCTACGTTCATACATTCTTCCTGCATCTAATTTAAAGATGCTTTGGAGAGGAAAATATTTACATATACATTTTACTTATTGTTACCTTTACACAAAGTAAGTGCATACCTGGCATACTGAGAAGAACTGCGATAAGTTTTTTCCTTTGATCTTTAAACTCCTCTTGCTCTGGCCAGGACTTTCTCTTTGAGTATGTTAATACCTCTTCAATTTAGCAAATAATTTGCTTATACTGATAAAATTTCCTATAGGTGACTGAGTATAGCAGAAGATTGAGTTATTCCCCATGAAAGCAAAAAGTCCTGAACAGCACTGTGCAGTATTCAGGCAGATTTACTTATAATCTTGTGAGCATGCAGGCCTTTGATTTTTTTCTCTAGAAAATGCTTTGATATTTTCCCTGGCATCTTAAACATAAGCCTGACATTTTGCCATTAGGAAATAACAGAAAAAAGGAATTAAAAATGGAATAAAAGATCACTAGTGAGTGAAAGCTCATACATACATATCAAACAGCTATCACCTCAATGCTCACAAAAGATAGAAACTTCCACTGCCATTGAAAAAACATTTCCAGTTTATAGGGACACCTATAAAATATCCTCAGAGATCAATCTGGAAAATAAGCCTTATGTCTGTATCATTCACAAGCACAAGAGTGAAATGATATGGGTACAAAATAATTTTGAAAGAGCCTGTTGTTTACAACCCAGGCAGTTTAATTATACAGAACTCTGAATGGCTCTACCTGGCAGAATGGAGGAGGTAGTGACTACAGTATGGGTTGAAATATTTTAGATGAGTTTTTCAGGAAAGAAAATACTGATAATCTGTGAGTTACAGCAATTGTTCTAACATGTACTTAGCCTGAAATCTGTTGATTTGGTTAGACCTAAAGAAAGAGGAGCATGTATGCCTGAAAACTTTTCTGTATCTTTTCAGTTAAATAAAGAGGTGCAATGAAAATAACATTCTTCCATGAAACACAACAATTATTTTTGGTATTTTACTCTTCTTAGAGTCCTAAAATGTCTAAGTTATTGGGCATTTTTTTTTTTTTTTTTTTGTGTATGTGTTAATCAAACTGAATAAAGCTAATTCTGTTTATATCTTCTTTAATGATAACCACTCAGCTCATCCATCAGTTTGAATTCCTTATACTTAGCAGACAGGCTGTTCAATTCATCATCATGAATTCTGAGAATAAATAATATTTTAAAGTATTTTGAATATTTAACTAATGCTAAGCATATGCACTTGCTATGCAGAGTTTTCCTTTTCAGAAATTTGCTTATAAGAAATTAAATAAGGCTGCATTATCACACCATATATAGTGTAATTAAATATTACTGAAACATCTGTGACACACCTTCAAAACAAAACCCTTCTCTTTTCTTTTTCTCACAACAAAGTCCCAGCAGGGGGCTCCCAGGTAACACAAAAATCTGTAGCAGTCTTAATACACACTTGGTGTCCACACTTGGATGATAGCACATATTTAAAAAATTCTAGAATTTGAGTTGAATTATTCCTTAAGAGTAGGGTTTTTTTTGCTTTTTAAGCCTTTTACTTAAATCAGGTGTTACTTGCTGAACTCT